GCGCAGGACCAGGAAGTGTTTCATTATGTTGTACATAAGGGTCACTATGAGTTGGAGCTGACTCAGTGGCACTTAACAACAACAACATTTAAAAGCTGCTAGTATAGACTTCTGGTAAAATGGTGGAATAGGCAGACAAGCTCCACAGACTCCCTTCAAAAAAGGAAAGAGAAACAAATTGACAGAGATACAGAAGATAAACCTGGAGCCATGAGCTTTGAAAAGAAGTATATAGAAGTGGATAAGGCACCAATTTGTGGAAAAACATGAACAAACACAGTGAGTACGGACACAGAGCAGTGGCAAAACCTGAACAAAAACAGTGAGTATGGACACGGTCGGAGCAGTGGATTGTCACCTATTCTGACAGGACCAACAGCCTGAATATTTCCAAGTGGTGTTGGGACCTGAGAATTGACCTAAAGATCAGCCCTGGTCACCAAGGGCTGAAGAGAAAACTGCACTGGTGGCCTATGACTAGGAAGGGAAAGAGCAAGGAAGGAGACAACCTGAGCTGTGGACTTTCAGCTGTCCAGAGGGCACAGCCATTTTGATTGTTTACAAGAGGCAGTCATTTTGGATATTTAAAATGACAGCATTCCCATTCAGATTCCAGGGACCTAAGAATAGGCTCTGTTTGCCGAGGTCATGAGGGACATATGGGAGGCAGACAATGGGAAAGGAGACAGGTTGTGAGTGTATAAGTACTGCCAACTAGTGAATAGAGGACCACAGCACAGTACCCTACTTATGTAGATAACATACAAAGAAAACAAAAATCATGGGCAAGTCACTCCAGCATACAATCACCAATTAAATATAAACACAGAAATGTCACAATGCCTCGGAGACAACAGAGCATTATAGTCTACACAAAGAAGCAAGATAAAGCAGGAGAAACAAGGGACCAGGATACAGACCCAGAACACATCCCTGAGGAAGATGCAACATTGGAACTCTCTGATAAGGAATTTAAAAGAATTATTTTAGGTACCTTCAATGAATTGAGAGACAGATCAAGGAAAACACTGACAAAATTGAGGAAAACACAGAGAAAACCCTAGAACAATTTCAAAAGA